CATACATGCACAAGTAATGCATTTTGGTTAATATTTATAACTATATATATATATACCTGCAAACTTTATAGGTTTTCAAAATTGTAAAGATATATATATATAGATAGCTATATGAATGTTTCAAGTTGTATAGATGCATGCATATATATTCAATGCAAATATAAGAAAACGTGTCATTATATAATTGCATTTTTAATATTTCTTATGGTTGTCATATTTCCCCCTTCCTCCTCTCTGCTGGCCATATGGTTTTGGTACATTCTGCACATACTAAAAGGTCGAAAATGTGTTAAGTGACAATTATGAGTTAATTATATTAATATAACCCTCTCTCCATTTATGATGGAGTTTGGGTCATGACAATTCTATGACCTTCTTCCACTGTGATGACTCTAAACTCTGGTGAGCTATCACTGTTGCTTATTTTATTTGGAACTAATTATTTTCTAAATAGAATATATAGCTACAAAATTTCTGTCTCACTTTCACCTAGAATTGCCATCTTCTGCTTGCATGATTTTTGCCACTCCTTATAGTCAGCTTCAATGATGGCTACTCTGTACACAGTATCTATAAAATTCACAATCAAGCAGTGTGGGCTATAATTTGACACTTAGGATTGGTAATCAACATGATTGTTGATTCGATGCTCCAGATTGAGCTTAATACTATCTTTTAAACTATGCTAAAGGTATCTGTTGTGGGAGACTAGCTGATGTGGTTCATGAAGATATATTGTAGCTATTGACTATTTCGTTGCAGTAGTTCGAGATGTAAAAATTTAAGCTGCAGCTGGAGATTGTCATGGAGATGTGTTTGCAAATATAGTGAGCAGTTATAGTTTCTGTGTAACTAAGTTTTGTATATATAATGCATAGCAATAAGACACAACCTTGAGCCTAGACTAAGACACAACCCCCACTAAACATGTATAAAATTTTACCAGTAGAAAAGCAGCCTTTTCAAATAAAATATGTGTCTAAAACATTGCTTTAAATAAACCTTCAAGCCTTTTAAAGTAATTATTCTATGAATGTGTTTAATAAAATCAAAAAATCATGTGTATTGTTACTTTTTATTCCTTCACTTCATACATAATATATGAGTTGGCTCCCTAAAGACATCGACTGTATAGTGTACAAAGCACTGAGTATTCTCCATGTTACAGTCATCTGTTGTCCATCTATTATTGGCTGGTAATTCCTGTTCACCCTGTATTTATGCCTTTTAAAGAAACACCAGATATTTGTAAGAAAGCTAACTTCAAGAGGTAATGATAAAATTGTTTAAACTGAAATTAAGACTTTTTTTTAGCTTATGAAAAATACAGAAATAATTTTAAAAGTATCCTATGCAATGCACAATGACCTGTTTAGTAATATTGCTCAGGTTTGATTGTAATAGTCGTGCCCATTTTTGCTGTAGGCTGGAGGAACAATAATAATAATAAAAAGAAGAACAAATGGGTGATCCCTATTATGAACCACTACCGTGGTTCATGATTAAGATGTTTCTTTATGTGATGAAACAAGGTTGAGCAAAAATGTGACAGTCCAAATTTCATGTGTCTATTAAAACTCTGATAATCTGTATAAAAGCCTTGAAAGATACTGATAATATATTTGTACATAGATAATTAAAGTTAATGTATATTTTTGATAATCAAGAATAATGTTTAAATCAGTTCAATCTTATCATACACATAATTGTAGCCTTAGTTGGGGATTCAGTAACAAAATATCTCGGTAATTTCAACTCAATAGCCATTTTATTCAGATTAACTATCTTATTTACTACTTCTACTTTTATTAAAGATAATGGCAATAACATACTGTTATGACAGCGGAGGTCACGTGACGCTAGTGGTTTTCTTTTGGGCAGTTCCTAAAGGGGGATCATCTTTTCACCAGCCCTCCACCTGTTCAGTGTGAGATTGTAACTTTCCAATAGATACTTACCTCCCCTCACATTTCCCACTTCCATTATGGTTTGGTTTGATCTGCCCAATGTCGAAGTGGTTAAAAGCTGCAAGCTTAGAGAAGGCACTAGTTATGATAGGGTAGTGCCACACTCCTATTGGTGAAAGATTGCTGTATAATCATTTCCATGTTAGTAGGCAGATATCTCTCATTGACATATGTAAGGGTAAATGGGAGTATCAAGGCTAGTGGCAAGTGACAATGTGCACCAACAGAGGGCAGTATAAGTCAAGAAAAGCTTTTTGTGAGTGTAAGTATCGATCAGAAATATATTTTCAGTTTAGGAAAATGTTAACTTTGGTCATTTTTTGCACAAACAGTGAGGAACAGTGTTGATTTTTCTGAAAGATTTATCCAGTCCTATTGATATTATAAAAATTACATTTCATTTTTAAAATGGTATTGTTACGCCTCCGTTCGTTAGTTAATTTTTCCGTAAAAATTCTTTCTGAAGAAACTTTAACGATACAAGTCCTTTATTAAATAAAACTGGTTTATTCTTTCTGAATACAACTTTGCGATACACTTAATTTCAACAGTTGCGCTATAACAAACGCTATAATTCACAACGAACGTCTCACGTGCTCGACTCAACAATACTCAGTTCAATTACACAATGTTACCTTCACTTTGTGACTGTCTTATATATATACAAGAATAACGAATCTAGTAAGCTCTCGAGAAGTCAGGAAGGGACGTGAACGTTCGAAAAGTGCATGACGTGTTAACAGGTGTGAGAATGAATTAAAAACAACACACCTGTGGGAGACCACACTACTTCTGAGCCAGGTATACTCTTTGTCCTTTAGTAATGTGTTGCCAAAAGGGCAGAAGCAAAGGAGGAACCACATAAAAAACTACAGAAAAGAGACTCCTAGGCACTTAGTGGCTAGAACACGACTTTAAATGGAAGTTCAACCTCAATTAATAGCTGGTGTCATCTGGAATAATATATTAGGTCCACAGTAGGAAGAGCAAGTTGAAGGCTATGAGCACAAGCCAAATGAAATGACTAACTAGTTTAAGAAATGTTTTTAAGTGTTGTGATATGTAGGCATATCATGCATTTTCCACCATCTTTTATTAGTATAGGAATTCTTAAATTTCTTTGGTTTTTCTGATTCTATGCAGACAGTATCTATTTTGCCTGAGGATATATTGCTGAAACTTTGTACACTGTTTAGAATAGGTCATTAACAGCAATGTCCATCATTAGCTGAGAAGATGACATCTAGAAGTTATAGATTTTGAACGTTGTAAGAGAATGACCAGTCACGTGGAGATGCTTGTCGTTTCTGGTAAAACCAAGGTTTCCTGTTCGGCATGGAGCATCACTTTCAGTCAGAATACAGAAAGTTCTACTTGGTTCAAGATGCGAGTTGAATAATAGAGAGACATCTTGTGAGAACATAACTATTAATTGATTCACTAATCCAGTAGAAATGTGACTGTGTAGTGTTTACTCAAGTATGCATACTGTTTTTGTTTAGCATTTTAAATAAAAATCGTTTTACACTTTACTCCATCTGTTCAGTTTATTTTTTTCTTAGTATAAACTCAGTCTTATTTAAATTCAGATCTACTCAGTAATTATCTTACATAAATCTCTTGTTATAAAGCAAATCTATCTGATACTTCTTTGAAAATCAGTTTTCCCTGAAAATATAGCAATGTTTCTATTCTCTGGCATGTGAAGATCGCAGTCAGTGATCCAAAAGGAATACAAAGAAACTGCAAGAAAAATTTCAAGCCATTTTCCATAAAGTTTCAAACAAATAATTTTTCAACCCTAAGCCTGTCCCTTTAGAGTATGTGAGCTCATGATAGTATATGAAACAAACAACTAGACTTACGTGTTCCATTGACAGTATTGGTAAGAATATTTAATATATCCATTTTTATTATTTTTAGTTTTTTGTTATTATATTTTTATTATAAGTACATTATTATTGCATTATGACTGCAATCAATACATGGACTTAGGACTAATCTATATTTCCTTGCACGATATTATTGGCTTTGTGGTCAAAATTATTGCTAGCAGCAAGGGTTGAAACAATTAATGAATACTTGTCTTTGTAATTAAGATCAGTATTTTTAACTAGTTATACTTATTAAAAGCTTGATTTATAGTTTTTGATATAAATTGGTAATTTTCTTTGATTGGAAGTTAATATTAATTGCACTTTAAATTCTTTTTCCAATCGGGAACAACTTTCAAGTGGTGAAATATATAAAATCAGTTGATCAATATTTCCAATTAAAACTCTCAAAATTAAAATTAATCCACTATTATGTGTTTTAGGATAGTGAAATTCTTTTAACAGAACAATACTGTAGAAGTTTCTTTAAAATCTATGGATCAGTATGTCTCACCTGTCCTAAGCCTGGTTTCAACTTTTTTAAGTTTGTTATTTTTTTGCAAAAGAAAAAAAATGTTTTACACTGGCTAGTATTGAAAATCAGCAACCTGTCAAATATCTCAACCCAAGTATATTATTTTCAATTATAAATAAAGAGGTCTTTCAAGACAAGTTCTGAGGTTATTCAGATTCTACACCACTTTTGCATGACAACAAAACTGACTTTCTTTCACTCTATGCCTTTGTCACAAATTCAAGGAAAATCAATTTAAAGAAAAGTTTAAATTGATCAAATAGATTGTTGTTATTTTACAAAACAAGTTTCTCAACCACAACAAAACAGCACTCAAAATATGGCTGATGAGTCGTTTAACATACTCCAACTAAGGTAATGATGGAAATGGGATCATAAAGGCTAACTTACATGTACACCTAAAATAGTATGACATGCCAACATTTCTAGTTGATCTATAGTAGTAAAACAGTAGCATCATAAACAATTTTAATCTTAACTATATTCATTAACACAGACATTAACCAACTAAATGAGCTATTGTGATCATAAAATACAAAACTCTTTCATCAGCTATCATTCATAAATTTCAAAACTAAAAATTGATATGCTACCTATAACCCATAATAAAAATGTTAGCAGTCTACTGTGATGTATATTCCTTGCACTATAAAAGGTTCTCATATTCCACCTAGTCTGATATTTCAATAATCCAAGGTATTGACCAGGTAGAGCATTTACCATCAAATGGAAAACAAGACATTAATGTCCCATTTTCATTCTAGGTTTTTACATTTATATTTCATTCTAGCTTGTTTACATTTACATTTTATCATGTGAATAGTATGGTAAAACCATTACTGAATTTTTCTAACACTAAAAATCATTAAAAAAAACAAAGTTTAATTCACTTTCTGACCTTTGTCACTCCTGTCTTTTCACAACTGCTGAGGAAGTTTTCCACATTCCATCGACACTTGGTTACAGATAATCGTGGCTTCAGAGAATACAAAAAAAAGGTACTGTTATATATATAATCTATTACACCTAACAGAAGAAGTCAGGTGTATCAATGTGTTTTAAAGAGGTACAAAGTGGAAGTGTTTTGATAGCTACAGATGAGTTAACATTTGTAGATTATACTTAGAGTATTTTAGAAACACATAAGTAATACATTTTGTTGAAATTGATCAAAACCATAGATCAATACAAACTTTGTTCCATTCAAAGCTTTATTACTAAAATTTGGCAGGTAATAGGCTATGGATGCTAAAAAACACTGATTTACAAACTTTAGTACCAGCATTTTGTTTCCATTACTAGTTCACCTAATGTGAAGTCAGTATTCTATATGTGTCTTACTCTCACAAGCTGGTTAACACCATTAAACATAAAGTGAAGAAAATATATACTCGACTGTGTAAAGTTAGTTTCACTAATATTTTGTTATAGTATTTGAAATATATATTAATTATTAATTTATTTTACACTTATGAAGGTTGTTTTCCATTGTTAACTTAATATATTGACTTATGGCTAAACAAAATCTTCTAAGCTACCAAGTCTTATATGATATTAATGGCCAAAAATATCAGTAACAGTGAGGATACCCATCCTTTGAATTAATGCATTCTGATCATTACAAGATTTAGTTGTCCATTTTGTAAAATTAACTACGTTATTCATAAGTTACTCTTTTTTTCTGATCTATGCAGTTACCAAAACAAACCTGAAGAGGTCTTCTTGTCCTGAATAAAGTGTAAATATCTCAATGGAGAACATGCAAGGGCTTGGTATGAACTAGTGATACTTATATAGCATTTGAATTGCATTGACCATTAGATTATTTATAACAGTGAAACTTTGTTGCAGTTAAAATTCCATGTACTAAGAGGGCTTAACTGAATTTGAAATATATTGGATTAACAGTTGTCATATTTTGAGTACATGTAGTATTTGTTCATTAAAGAGAAATGAAAATGTAACTAAATATAGTACTAAAATATCATGTATCTGTGAAAACTGAATGTTGTTCTAAAATGGAGAAATAACTCAAACTTTGGCTTGGAGAACTCATTAGGATGCTATAAATAATTGCAGTGAGGGTTCAAAGTTTAACTTTGAGGATTAAGCTATTGGGTTTGACCCAGAAAGTCTTGCTGACTTGATATCATGATTCATGCTAATATTCTTATTTACAGTTTACAATTCCAAATTCATTATAGTCAAAGCAACTCTGGTCATCATGTGAGTAGCTATGACACCTATCACTGGAACTTCATGTCAAACAGTCTTTGTTTTTGTGAATGAAGGTAAAATAATGTTTATATATGTGTGTGTGAGTGTGTGACATTACTGCTAAATGTCATGCTCTAGCTGCCCAATTATATTTTGAAGCAAAAGAAAATAGACTTAAGGTAGTGAAAAAAAAGAGTACTGGTTAATGAAATTTTGATCAAAGTTAAGCTAACTTTGAAAAGTTAGATTGATTAATGCTTTCTGTTGGACTAGACATTGAAGCTTAACGTGAGAAACATTTTATAGTCCTATATATATTATTCATTATTTCATAAATAAGGATTATAACTTCTAATGTACTTGGTGAGAAACAATGCTAAAAATTGTTAGGTTTCCACACTAATGGCTGTAAGTTTAATTTAATTCATATTTTTTTGCTTATAAGGAGCACTTAATAAATGTATAGATTTTTTGTTTCACATTTTATGAATTGTATTATTGTAATGTGGAAAGCTAATTGAAGTATTGTAAAAAAAAAAGAACAGAAAAATATATAAAACCCTATGTTTTTGATTTAAAAAGAGTTCTCTCCAGCAATTTCTGAGGCCAAACAATCCTGAACCACTTCTCTCCTGTGTTTCCTGAGGCCAAAGAAGCCTATATTAGTTCTCTCCAGCATTTTCTGAGGCCAAACAAACCTGTACCAATTCTCTCTCTGGCAGCCACACAACCTGTACCAATTCTCTCTCTGGCAGCCACACAACCTGCACCAGTTCCCTCAGAAAAAGCCAAGAACCAGACTACTGTAGTAAAGAAGATGGCAGTTGTATTGCCACTCTACTGTTTTCAGCAGGCAAGCTCTCTGTAAGTTTCGATTGACATCTTCTCTAGTCTAACAATTTACAGTACATATGATGTTTAAATAAGTTCTCTAACTGAAACTGGATTATGTTGATATATATTTCATGTAATAATTTAGTGGAAATTTGTTCAACATAGTGTCAGATTTAATGAATCTGATAGAAGGTTTACTCAATGAACAATTATATGAGGAAAACGAAGACTGATATGTTTGAAGAACTGTTTCAAGACGATCTTAGTACTTTCACTGTTAATGAATATGTCAATATATTAGATATGGATGTAGAATAAAGTACTATATGTTGTTTGTATCATCAGTCTCTGAGTTGATTCTTTGAGTTGGTGGCCTGTGTGCTCACTCAACTACACACTTGACTGTCTTCCTGGAACTTAAATAAATTCATTTGTGACTCGTTAAAAGTGAAACCCAAACTACTCACCTGTTACATTTGGCAGGATGTTTGGGCAACCAACAACCAATAAAGAAAGGAATAGAATAAGTTAGTTTTAGAATTAAGTAGGAATGAATAGTTTTAAGTAAGTAGTTATGGCTACTGCTGGCATAGACATTACAATGGAAGAGGGTGTGAATTGTAAGGCTGAGATAAGGGTAGGCAGAAATATTGAGGCTGCTATAAAATTACCTTACCCATGAGCTACTCTGAGCTGCTTACATGCATGCATCATGAAATATGTTTATTGTATTATTATTATTTATTTTAACTACTCTAACCTTAATTAACCTAAAGAGATCCCTATTTTTACATTTTAGTTACTTTATATAATAATAAATAAAGAATAAATATGAAAAACAAGAAATAAAGTACTTACTCAAGTATTCTTTTCTTTGCTGTTTACTATCTATGACACTTGTTAACCCTATCGCCACAGGTATCCTTTACTGTGCATGACACAAGATTTTTGTCTTACATTCAAAATCTTATTGAACTACTTTTTGTTTATGTTATACCAATTAGTATAGCATAAAATCTTAGCTAATAATCTATATTTTAATAGAATATAAGATTTAAGTTCTTAATTCTATAAGGCAATATTTAAAAAAAAAATTTCAATTTCCCCAATGTGACACATGGGACACATTTTCTCTAGATATCTTCTCTTCTCTATTTTATCCACCACCCCTTCAGTAACTATGAAATCAAACGTAAATTATTCACTATAAAATCTTCATCACCCAGATAAACCTTATTTTTATAGCCTTTAATTGTGTTTGATTACAAAGCTATCAAATAGATAATCAGACCTATCCTGTAACATCCTTTCTTTCATGACTTGTCAATGGTTTTCTCTTACGTTTAATTATATATTACCTATCACTGATAGAAAGCCAAGGTTTTCATCTATCAAATGACTTATTATATTACGTTGTGTTCTAAACATATAATTGTCAATTTCACTTGTGATACAACTTTGGTTCCCACAGGAATCACAATGGCTAGATTGTATGAATTTGTAACGGCTCTTGTTGCATAGTTAGAAAGCCAGAAAAATTTGAGAGTTAAGGGAGTTTGTCTAATTTTTGCATGTTATTAGTCCATATTCTTTGGTGCATTATTTAATTAAAATAAAAATTATTAACTGCATTGCTATCATTAGTATGAAAAAAATTAGGGTTCTCTCTTTGACAATCGACAGCAAGAAAAAAGAAAATTGGTTAAGTATTATATTTCTTGTTCTTCATGATTATTCTTTATCTATAATTATAAAAGTAATTAAAATGTAAAAAATAGGGATCCTTTTATGTTAGTTAAGATTATATTAGGTAAAATAAATAATAATAAAAATGTTTCATGAGGCACACATGCAAGCAGCTTATAGTAGCTCATGGGTAACGTAATTCATTAGTGTAATGTGAACTGCATTTTCCTTGAGTGATTTACAACTTATGACGGCATGGATAGTAGTTAAACATGGTTCAAAGGGCAATAAAGCAATAAAATTTAATTATAAACAGACGTATACTGTTACGAACTTAGAGCTACTTAGGATAAGTGAATATAAAGTTTTATTTAAAAAAATGTTTGATATACATCAACGAGGTTTTAGGGAATACACAAAGGAAATTTGAGATTTTTGAGATGAGGAAATGTATTTCTAATTTTAACATAAAATTACTTTGCTCATGAATTATTCAAAACAAGTACTCAATATATTCATGAACAAATCTTATTTTAATTTATTAAAATACTTCACTAAAAATATGATTCTTTGTATGTGAAAGATATACACACCATATTGAAAGTTAGAAGTATTAAATCTATAAAGACTACAAGTACAAAGAGGTCACATGGTTGGTCAAATTGACTGAGAGAGTTATTGCATCAAGTTTTTTCTGCAACTGGATCAAGGACATAAAAAATGAACTAATTTAAATTAAATGAACCCTTTTATCTTATTAACAATGAAAAAAAGATCAATCCAATATTCTAAGACTTTAGAACAGTTAATACTGTTTCCTCATAATATTAACAAAAGTATATGTAACATTTTATACTGTTATGACAGCGAAGTCACGTGATGCTGGGAGCATGTGCGCTGGAGTTTCTAGAAGGATCATGAAGGCCCGAGTGCAATCGAGATGCCCTCTTTTTAATATATAAGCCTGGCGAGAAAAACCAGCGCGATCGGCAGATAGATTGAAGAGATAGATAATTGAGTCAAGTGAACAGAAGGCACCATAAGAAAAGTGTGTGAATCACTGTGATTTATAGCGTGTGTTATAAAGGTTGATAAGTTTAAAGTGACTGTGTGGAAATTCTGTGTACTAAAAAGTTGTATCAAGAAAGAATAAACTGGTTTAATTAAGAAAGGACTTGTATCGCTGAAGTTCCTCAGAAACAATTTATACTGGAAATTAACAAACGAGCAGATACGTAA